AGGCTGAGGCAGAGCTGTGACTGGAAACTCAGCTGTAGGACCAGGAGGTGGACAGCAGCTGAGGCAGAAGCAGTGAGAAAGGTGGGGACGAGTGGGGCACTCAGACCAACCTCAGCCTCCCGTGTTACCACAGGACACTGAGGTCAAGCAGCCCCCCACGAAGAGGCACGCCCCACTCACCCTGGAGCCCCTTAACACTCTCATGGAACGGCTATGATGTCAGGATCCTGAGCAGGAGAGGGGGTCCACGGTACCATGTAGGCCAGGGAAGCAAACAGCCTGCAGACCCCATCCCCCCAAGGCAGCATCACTCCCCAACACATCCAGAGCCCTTCCCCTGCTGGTGGGTTGTGAGAGCTGGGCACTGCTTGCCCAGTGTCACTTTCTAATGAGGTGAAGGCAGGGTAGGCAGTTGTATTGGGTTCCCAAGCTCCAGCAAACTGCACCTGTAGGTGATTATGCTGCCATTAGGATTTCAGCATGTTTCTCTAAAGCCTTGCTACAGACCAAAGGCCACCAAAGGGCCACCTACCAGGGACAGCGAAGACCCTAACGTGGCAGAAGTGCTGTAAGTGGGCAGGGCAGTGGAGGTGGACCTGTGCCATGTGTGCCACAGCAAGCAGCTTGCATCACTGAAAGAGCTAAGGTTCAGTCAGCGGGGCAGGGCAGCCAGCCGTGGCGGCACACCCTGCAGCCTACCACTGAGGGAGGATGACACAGAAGCACCACAGGTATAGCCCAGCCTGGGCAACTTAGCCGAACTGCTGCAAGCTGAACAGAAGAGCTAGGGATATATCTTAGCACACAGGGCCTGGGTTCAATCCCTGGTTCCACATACAAAAGTGGGAGGGTAACAGGAGCTGAGCCCTACTGTTTAGGTGTAAAGTATCTGAAGTATCCTGTGTCCCAGTGGGGCTTGGGAAAGTGACTGGATCACAGGTGTACCTCACAGTTCATAGCCGCATGTGTTCTTAGGAGGTAGGGTCTGGTAGGTGAGTCACTGGGGGCCTGACCTGGAAAAATACACTCTTGTCCCCAGCTCCTCCGCTTCCTGGCTACCATGGCTGAGTAGCCTTCCTGTGCCAGATGCTTCTCCATGCAGTTCCTGCCTGGGAGCCAATCACGGACTAAAACCTCTGAAATCCTGAGCTGAAACAAACCCTTCCTCAAGTTGTAGGCATCAGGTACTTTGGCCTAGTGACAGGAAAGTAGCTGAGACACAGACCCACACAGGCCCAGGCTTAATTCCCTGTGAATGCCGTGTGGAGGAGATGCTGAGCAGTCCTTAGATGCTGCTCCCAGAAGGTAAGGAGAGAAGACAGGACCCGTCCAGACTCTGGGGACTCAGCACACTCTGCTCCTCAGAGGCCCACGTGGACTGAGGGGCCAGTCCTGCCAGCCCAGGCCACATGGCTGACTCCATGCTGCAGCCAGCCTGAACCTAAACTGCATGGGGAGAGGACAGAACAGCCAAGACGGAGATGGTTCCACCCTTTACTCTGCCCTCTCAGACACGACCTGTGCAGGCCACCCCACGGGCTCCCACTGCCCGGGACAGAAGCTCGGCTATGTGACAGTCTCTAGACATGTGGCCGACTGTCTGTCATTAAAGGATTACAGCAAGTGATTCTATTTGTGGTTTCTAACCTTCCCCTTGTCTCCCCCCCAAAAAAACTGTACATGAGTTTACAAACATATTAACATATAAATAATGAGAAACGTCCTGGGGAACCTCCCCTTGTCTCTGCTGGAGATTAACACTGGAGGGGCGCTGTCCCCACAGACTGTGTGTGCCATAGGGAGTTGCATGGTGGCTGTTCTGGACCAGACACTGGCTTCCTCAGCACCTCCAGATTCAACCGCCGGTCTCCGCTGTGTCCACGGAAGAGCCAGAAGCCATGAGCCCGCAGCATGGCAGCTCCACTGCCCGTCATCGCTCCGGCTCAAGCTCATGCTGGAGGGGCCGCTTCCTCTCCCGACAGTGCTTCTTGTGGGCAGGCCAGTCCTTCTGCTGGCACTGGGAGCCGCAGTACCGGGCTACCTGGCAGCGCCCACAGATGTTGAACTCCCGGAGCTGAAACACAGACCATTGGGGCTTCACTGTCATGTTGGGGGGTACCCACATCTTGGAACCTGGATGGGCCTGGCAGAACCCCATGCCCTGGCTGGGATGCACTCAGTGGCAGAGTGCTTGCCCAGAACGGGGGGCCTGGGTTCAATCCCCACACAAGCAAATACAGAAAGACCCATGTCTGGGGGCAGGAATGCCCACCTGGGCAGCATAACACCGAAGGGGCAGCCACCCTGATGGGAGAGCAACAGAAGCACCCAGGGTCTGCTGGATGGAGCCTAGGCTGAAGGGGGGTGGCAAGGTGGGTATGGTGGGCAGCAGGGGCTCTGTGGCACCTGCTTCTCGATGGCCGTGCAGGGCGGGTAGTGGCATTCATAGTAGGTGCAAGAATTTTCCTCCTCTTCCACCACGTCCCCGTTGGCATTATAGTACCGGGTCACGTTCAGGACCGGGAACTGCTCCTCTATTGGGTCTGTGGGAAGTTGCTGGATCGCAAGCCAGTACAAGCTCTGCTCCCTGAAAGAAAGCAGAACCTCAGTGTGTGTGTGCGCCCGCCAGACCAGGTCAGCACACAGGCCAGTGTGACACCAAGACACTCCCACCCAAACTATGTGCCAACAACTGGATTCAGGCTCAGCACTCCACCCTCCCGCCGGCTCTCTCTGCCCAGTGCTTGTGACCGAACATGGACATCACAACCAGCCCCGAGCCTGTGAAGTCCCCGAGAGCCCACAGCAGCCACCCCCCCAACAGTGCAAGCTGCCCTGTGACCCTCTGAAAATGCTTCTTGCTCAGGTGAGCCAGAATTACAGTAAAAACTGAGGTCTGGAAAGCACATGCTGCAATGTAAGGTCCAAGAAACAGGGCACCCAACCCCTGCCTGTGCTTCAGGGAGGCACAGCCTATACCCTGGGAGCTGTGGAGCTGATGAACCCATCCCTCTAGCCAGCCTGCCCTCAATGTGGCTGGTAGAAGGTCCAGTGTGTGGAAAAGACTCTGGCTGCTTCTTGAGCCCTTCCATGAGGCCCTGCAAGACAGCAAATGCTCAGGAGCACCCTCTGGAGGCAAAAGCAGAACACACACCATGCAGGGGCTGAACTCATCACCCCACCATGACCAGTGCTCAGTGAGAGGAAAGCAGAGCAGAAACCCACAGCCTGGGAAAAGCCAGCCTCCCTCTCCCAGGCCACACGGGGGCCACAGTCTGGGCCAGCAGGGACTGTACCCCTCAGGCCATCTCTGACTAGTTCTCCTAGCCTGGGGCTGGAGCCAGAGGCTGACCACACGCTCCTGCACTCTAAAACCCTGATAGGTCCTGGGCCAACCCAGGCCACCTGCACCACAGGAGCTGCCTCCAAGGCACAGCCCCCTAGGACTCTTCCCCAGCAGCCACAGCAGGGCCCTAACCCACTGTGCCTAGCTTATAACTGCCCATCTTCCAAACAGGTTTGTAACTGCCACTACCGTGTC